GTTTTAAATGTATATGCATATTATGTTTGATGGGTTTTGATATTATTAATGATTGTTGGTTCAGCAACATTATTGATCCTTGAAAACCCCATCTGCTAACGTGAAGGGAAATAAAATACCCAAGTTCAGACGTATTGAGGAATAAGGTGCTGTTAAATGCTTTATGACCCCAAATACACCCTCCTGGGAGTGGGGGCATCTCATCCATTCTGTTAGGTTTGGGGAGCGTGGGAGAAAACTGTTAGGCCCTTAGCTAAGTGGCCTAGTAGGCTTGTACACTCCAGGGCGCCACCGTGTATCGGACCACTCCTGGAGCCTACCTCTCCACGCCTTTCTGCATATTCACTCAACATTCTGCAGGGTAGGGTGGATTCAGACTTACCTGCACTAGTAGGTACAGAGATCAAAAGTACTGGGGGTGGAGACCCAGATCTTGTCACCACTCAGTTTCCCAGGTAGGTGGTTACTTTCACTTTTTCCCCCACAAGGAGAGGCGGTTAGCCTCGCCACATTTATAATTAAAGTACACGCAGCTGCAGTACTAAATTTTGGTTAGGGGCAATATCATGTAGCAGGAATTTGAGAACGTGATACAAAACCCACTGGTTCAGATTCGAAACGGCGGTCAAAACTGTAGCTTAACTACGACTTTCGGGCAGATGTTTTATAATGGGATCAGATTAAAAATGTGATCATTGCCAGCAGGAGGCTTTGAAGGAAAAAAACCCAAAGTATTATAAAAGCCAAGTAGATGTGTAGGTGGAGAGTTGTGAACAGGTTTTAAAGGATTAACTTGTAGGCGTAATGTTTTGGTCTTCATCATGTCACCGGCACGGCATGGGCTAGTGGGCAGTCTGCACCCGACAGCTGGGCCTATCAGGAAGAGCCGTTCGTATGATCAGCTGCGCAGGACAGCAACGTCTTCAAGTTTGGTCTCGGCTTTACTGACCAGGCCTTTGTCCTTAAGTGCAGTATGTGGTATATAAATGCACCCTTGTTGTGGATGGTCTATATGTGTGGGAGAGCTGGGAGTTTCATCATCCTTGGCACCCCCAGTCTCTTCCCGCTCCCTCATTTCCAGTGGTGATTCTGATCTTAATTTGGCCATTAGCCAGTGGCACCATGCCCTCTGTATAAGGGCTGCATCTTCTCAGCTGTCTTTGTCCTTGTTAAGTGTGACAATCTAATTAATATTACATATAATACCTATGGCCCTGTTCTGGATATCGATAGACGTGCCACTGAGTGCCACTGGACAAATTCCAAATCGCATTCCATATTTTCTGCATAACGGGTTTGTATTGGATATAACATGCCTTTTACTTTTTCATTCAGTTTGTTGGGTTGTCTCTGTTGTGACTGTAATGATGTGATTTATTTCTACAAAGAACAATATGTTCATTTGATTCAAGAACCCATTCATCATCATTTTGGAATAGGCACATGTTCATTCTTAACCTTTTTGGTCATATGTTTCCTTGGCCCTTGTTGGAACCTGATGTTCTCAGGTCTTTCCTGGGCTTGGTTGATCTCAGTCCTGCTCTGTGGACTTCAGGAAGCAGACAGCTAATGACACATTCAACACGCCAACTTATTACATTCTAACATAACTCTGATTACATAAGTACTCTCGTTCAGTATTGAATAGGCATGTCTAGCTATTTAATGGCTGTGCTGGGTAACTTGGAACCAAACCTAGAATGTGTGTGTGGGTGTATTATTTTGTTTCCTCTTAGAGAGGTCAGATTATGACATCATGTTGTAAATCTTCCTTGGGTGGATGACTGTAGAGTTTTGAAGAAGCCAGGCTTCCTTGTGGTTGCATTGTCTTAGCTTCCTTTCCTGGATGGTTTTATTTGTTATCTTGGCCAAAGAAAAGAGTAATAATTTAATTGTTTTATTCAGACCAAAACATATTACAACAAAGCCTCCGACACGTAGATGGTACGTAGAAAACTGTACGTATCCACCCTGAGGGTTGGTCTGTAGACACCAACGTTTCTTTTCTCATTGCTTGCTTAAGGTCTGGGCTTTCAGTGTTGTAATCAGGAAAGATAAATGAATAGAAATGAGTCAAGCATGAACTGACTAATGTGTAGTAACAGCGAGGATGGTTTGAAAAGTGTGTTCAGTGATACTCATCATTAATCAATGCTTCTGTTTTAATGTGAACTTCCACAGGGTTCCGACGTTTTTTTTGATGTCTCTCACCTAAAAAGCCTTTTCTGCAGAAAAAGATTACAGGCTGTTTGAATGTATCTGCTGGCTTGTTTCCCAAAAACCCAGGAAAGTGTACCAGAGGCACTCCAGCTGCTCTAATGGCAGTTGACATTAAATGTGAAACTGAGATGGAAGAGGCCTTCAGCGTTGGGTTTTACTCTTAAGAAAGGAGGTGAGCTGACACCACTGATCCCCCCCCAGCAGGTACTTGACGTGAGATCCTGGCAGTTCCATGACCCATTGTTAGCCCCTTTGAGATGGAATCCTTTTAGAAGAGTCAGTCTTCGGAAGATAGAATGGCTCAGTGAAGATTCATTCCCCTGGAAATGTTGATCAGTATAGACAGAAACCAGGATTGACTTCCTAAGGTTGCAGTTGTGTGGGGAAACCTGGTAATATTGTCATATCTGTAATGCTGACACAGACGCTCCCTGGATTACGATAGGGTTACATTCCAATAAACCTATCGTAAAGAGAAAATATCGTAAGATGAAAATGCATTGAAATACAGTATACCTAACCTAACAAATATCATAGCCTAGCCTAGCCTACCTTATACATGCTTAAAACACTTACATTAGCCTACAGTTGGGCAAAATCATTAACACAAAGCCTGTTTTAAAGTGTTGAATACATCATGTAATTTATTGAATAATAATAATAATAATAATAATACCCATTGTAAAGTCAAAATATTGTAACATGGACTATCGTAACCCTGGGAGTATCTGTACTTTGAAATCAATACAGAGATATGCTTCGTTGTGTTTGCTGAGTGTTAAAAATCCCAAAGTCATTTCTGGTTCCAGTGATAAACTGTGAAAAAGTTGATGAGCAAGCGCTGTCTGCTGGTGGTACTTCCAGTTGTCTTCTCCTTACATGCGAGTTCCACTGTTTTAAGTATCATTCTCTTACTGTACTAGAAGTTAAACATCAGTATTGGGTGCCTGAGAGTCCCAAGTTCAGCAGGTTTTTTGTATGTTTGTATTAAAATTATCTCTGCAGCTTGAGCTTGATATATTCCTGTGAAATGCATCTATCACAGTGTCATCAGAGAGTCTGTAGGGTGTCATTGTCACTAGCAGGGCACGGAGGAGACATGTTCCACATCAAAGCCGCTCGTCTAGTCTGCTTGCAAATGTTATGCACTGATCGTTGCTAGAAAAGCAACAGGATGTATCTCTAAGCAAATATGAGGGTTTGGCTCAGACTCAGGAATGTTTGCATGTTGGTGCTCTTAGTTGTCTCTGAATGCCCTTCTTGTGGGAGACGCGTCCTCTTGTTTCCCCTTGGCTTTCAGTGGAGCTGAAGGTAACTGAGTAGCAAAGAGGCGCAAAATCATTTACAAAAATCACAAAGCACAAAGTTGCTGCAGCGGCAACATTTGCAGGAAAGTTCAGTAAAGTTCAGGTTGTAATTCAAGTATGCTTCTGCCTTTCGTCATTGAATCTGTGAGTTGAGGCGTGAAAGGAATGTAACACTATCTATCATGTACAAAACTATGTGATTCTGCTTAACTATCATGGCTCATAAATTATGAAGACCAACCATGTAATGTTTAATATATAATTAGCATGCAGAGATTGAGTTTTGATATAATAGTTGAAGATTCTCAAATTCTCAAATCCAGTTGGGCTGAATTCTTTTGTAGGACTTTCAACATGAAAATGATCTTCACTCAGAAACAACCTAGTGTAGCCTTGAATGCCTTAAATAATGTTTGAGCAATATTCACCTTGACTTAAGTGTTTTGTAATGAATAATCACTGTAGCTTCTACATGTGGAAATGTTTAAATGCATGTGGCACATGAGACCCAAAGCATTTTACACTGTTATAAGACCTTTTGGAGGGTAATGACTAAACCCAGTGCAGAATCACAAGATGACATCATGTACATCAATGACACATGCTTTTGTTTATGAAGTTCTTATGACCCACCGAACAGAGTGAGAGGTTAAGGTCAGGGGACCTGCACTATTGTCATCCCGGTTGGTAGCCTTGGACCTTTTGACAGTGATAATGTGTGTGTGTGTGTATGGGGAGGGGGTGTAATGTGTGGGTAAAGAATAAAGTCTTTTGAGGTGGGGGGGGAGACACAAACAGCTGGAGGGGAAGTTGGAAGTGTTCAGAGAGACAGGGGCAGGACAATCTGTTTAACCCTGTTTCCTGGCTTGATGTACGCAAGTCCTGTTTTCTCGTAGGTGTGTACAGCTGCTTGCTTGTGCTCTAGTCCCAGGACACCCAGGTTCTGTTCCAGGTTTGTGACTTTTGCGGAAGACGTTGAGTCCCGTCCCTGTGACATTGACATGCTCTGATGCTGAGGTAGGCTAGATTCTCGGTGCTGATTTGGCATGTGACTCAAATGAAAAGGACGACGAACGTTATTTTGAGGGATATTTCACATTCCTGATGTAGTCTATTTATAGAGAAGGAAGCTTGCGGCGCCAGGCTGATTACCAGAGCACCATTTCATGATTCCTTTCTGAACGTATGCTGCCCACATATTACTCTGTATCTCACATGGCTAAGTGACAGATACCACAGTGTCACATCTGGGTGACTTTTAGGTCACAGACTAGTGTGGCTGGATTTTCATCAGCATTCAAGACATTATCAGCGCCTGCAGCAAGTGGCTATGTGCTATTTTTACACTTGTGCTAAAAATAAGATATCATTTCGATTGATTACAACAACGCCTGAAGCAGCCAGCTTGCATTCTTGAAATAATTTTTCTGTGTTTAAAAAAAAAACCAAGAAGCCTTACTTGACTATATGAAGTGGTCCCACGAAAAGTTAAAGGTCTTGTTTAAAAAATAGCCCATAACCTTTGTGAAGAATTACATTTATTACAATCAAGAGCCGCCTTTACTTCCCTAAGAATTTAAAGAATGCAACTAGAATGTCTCTCCTCAGAAATACTCTGCACACATGAACCCACAAAGGGGAAAACGAGAGAGATGCAGTGACATTTACAGTGGAAGTAACATTATTATCACAAAAACCAGTGAAAGTCCAAGGTCCTACAGAAGAACCAGTGGTTAACAGTAGAAATCCAGAACAATAAATATTACAGCCTACTAAAAGTTTAGATGTTTTTCTTGCTGCTTGGAGACGCGCACAAATGTCCGACCACTTTTAATTGATCCCCATTGACATTTTTTGTAAGGGTTCTCCTGCTTCTGATTAAAGATTATGATTAAGAGAAGTATAAAGGAAATAAAAGGTAAGGACACATGACCCTTGACCTTGATCCTTTATGTTTTGCTTTGAGAGCATATCGCTTAGATAATGATGTGTTTTCCTGTTGTGAGAATTTTGGCTCGTTTTCTTTGGTAACATGCATGCTTGTATTTTGATAGTTATAGTCGGGGTTTGCATTTGTGTGATAAGCATGAAACAGGAAGGATAATAAAAGCCTATTGGATACTTAGCACGTGAACTTTATTGAGGATGCATTGTGTAGCTGTGAGATTTAGCATGGTACACCCAGGGGTTTTCTCTCCTCGCAGAGCGATGAGTGAAGCGGAGCAGGAGAGCCGTAACTCACGGAAAGGCACAGCCTGCCGTGACAGCACGGCTCACACCCTGCCTGAGAGCAGCAGGACGTCATCAGGGGAAACGAAATGCACGGAATGAATGCGCACCATTCAGAAGCTGTTCGCTCGTGAGCAATTTTTTTCTTTCTGCATCTTTTCCTGCAGCTGTTTTCAGCAGTTTGGCTGCCAGGATGTGGTTTCTGCATATTTCCTTGAGCAGAAGTAACTGTAGTGGCGAGAGAGACAAGAGTTTTAACTGGAGGAGTGACGCGTGACGTCATGCCGTGCTGGTGTGAGCCCCAGGTTGGGGGCGCATGTCGTTCGCATTTCCCAGAATCTGCCCAAGCTCGTCTTTACCTTCACATGGGCCTGGAACCAAAAATTGCTACATTTTTGCTAAAAAATTGGCGGGCTAGAAAGTGTCAACTGCAAGTAAAATAAATTAAATGAACTGTAAATAAAGATTGGGTTAAAATGCACTTTGGATATTTTCTGCTGGAAGCACTTTTAGTGGTAAACGTTTTTAGGAAACATACCCGTAAGACTTGCTCCAGGTGGGGTTAGGGGCAAAACCCATGTGACACGGGGATGGAGGAAGGAAGAAGGACTTTGTGCGGGAATGGGAGTGGAGACGGGACTCACAAAAGCAGCCGGGAGGGTCGAACACAAAAGACAGTCATAAACATGTGAGATAAAGGGCGCATCCGAAAACCAAAAGAGACATTAGGTCATGGCAGGGCTACGACTGAGTATTGTCCAGAGTTTCAGGGTCTGGAACATTTACTGGGGGCAAAGAGAAGCCTGGGAACAAGAAACAGGTGAACTGAGTGTCTGACTGCCCCACCCCTCGTGGCGATACTAAAAATAGCTCGAAGGCCTGTCAGACTGGTTGATGTTTCATGATGGAAGCCTGGGAATGAGTTATGAGATGGGGATTGGAACGTCCTTTAGCATCTAAATGGTTGCTAAGGAAATAAACAAGACTTATTCGGCACAAGTCACCGTTTACGTAACTTTTCAACAAAAGGAGAAACGTCTGCTTCGCCTGTCGCGGGGCCGGCTTCTTAAAAGGCATGAGAACTTCCTGTGTGAACGGCCGGTTAACATTTCCAGCTGAATAGTATACTTTTCTAGAGAGACTCTGAAAGGAGCTCACCATTATTACCCTGTCTGCCATATTTAGATTTTTCCTTTTTCCTGTAGTTTGACGTTCCATTGGCCAGTCCCTGCCTGTTGTATATCCTCAGCAGGCCATCGACCTCACCCCCTACCCACAACCCCCCAGTTCTTATCACCACTGCTCTCTGTACCCCACCCGGCGCCCTGGGTTATTTTTACTCTGGCCACGGCAGAGCCTAGATCTTCCAGGGGGTCAACAAGAGACATCAAAATCATTGGCCTGAAACCACCACGATATCTGTAAAGGAAAGAAACGGAGCTTTCAGCTGTCTTCCTGTCCAGGTGCGTTCTGCCAGCTTTTGCTGAATCACACAAACATACAGCCCATGAACACTGTCATCGCTCCTGCCCCACGCCAAACTAGGATTTACGCAGGACAGGACGTGACCTATTGTTTAATTCAGGCCACTCGTGTCGGTAGGGATTAGGTTCTTGGTGTGCTTGTTGAGCGCTGGGCTCCACTCGACTGGTCCCCTGCACCACGGCCATGCCCGACATCACTGCCTCGGGTTCCGGAACGTTTACAAGGTGACTGATCAGACACGAGTGCTGCACTGTGGCACATCACACATGTCCCCCCCCCCCCCCCCAGGAGGGCATTGTCCCCAATTTTTCAGTGCTATGCAGAAATTCTGAAGTAAAAATATGGTCAATCAGCCAGTTCCCAAGCTTCTTTTTACGGTCTGTTGACTTTTAAGGAGACATGAGAAAGATGTCGGGATTTAAATAGTACCACAGAGAGAGCGAGAAAGAGACAGAGAGAGAGAGAGAGAGAGAGAGACGCCAGACAACCGTTTAACCCGTGCAGCATGAGTCTGTTTTTCTTCGGCTTCAGATGGATTGAATGTATCACTCCTTGTGTTTAGAGTGCTGGTTTTACATGTTTTCCCACTGATGATGAAATTAGTGTAAATTAGTGTAAGCCTTTAGCCAGTCCCCCAGGGTTACTAGCCAGTTATGAAACAGAATGAGGGAAAGTCAAAAAATTGTTAAAGCAGGGTTCTTCAAATTTGGCCCTCGATTCCAAATCCAGACCCTCTTTTCAGTTCTCCCAGGTAGTCAGTTTAATAACTACTGACTCTGATTGGCCAGAGGCTTCACACCTGACTGGAAGGCTGGCTGATTTGAATAGCCCCGTGTTAGAGCTTTGTGGTTTGCACTTAGTGATGTCACAACCAAATGGCTTCTGCTCCTATTAGTGCTTGTACAACTGAGAGTTTTTATAAAGACTCCTTGTGTCTAACCATCAAAATAGGTTTGGTACCTGTCATTTGACAGCAGAACAGAAGTAGATTCCATTGCTCTACAGCTGTTTAATTGAAATATTCTTCCATGAGATGTGTACTGAGGTGTCAGATCTAAATTGGCCTTTATTGCTATTTCCGTGTCAAAGTCAGTGTAATGAGTATTTAACATTAACTTAAAAGTACACTAATAGTTGCCTACATCCACGCTGCTCAGTGTGTGGCCTTGTCATATCTGTAACACCAATCATCAGCCTCTCTTCCCTGGTGTAACTCTGGGCTACTGCTCATCATCGTCCACTGAGTCTGTCAGCATGAGAAGTTCCTTGGCTTTCAGAGGCATACGATATGTTACGCTCAGCATTCACACCATTTCTCTGAAGCAGACTGAGCAGGTCAGTGCTACTGCTTTTAATTTTTTAAATGAATAAGTTCGAACTGTTTTTGATCTTTTTTTGGGGCATCTCCTATTTTTCTACTCAAAGCGAAGTAGAACAAAATGTGAATCTGGTAGCGACGGCCCACACCGTGATGCTAAGCTTCTAATCCCTCTCTGTTTAATGACACCGTGTGATTTGGGGCGTGTTCTCTTGCACGCCTTCTGCCCACTCTGCTCTGCGCTCAGAAAAATAGGCAAAGCAGGAATGTGAGAAGATCTAAAGACTGTTTCTATTGCCCAGGTGGGCAATAGCTATGCGTTCTGTGCATTTAGAGATACAGAGGGCTGCAAGGTGAACATGAAAGCTGCTTGCACTCCCCAGTGGAGCAGGTGGTAATTTGATCCTTGAGGTGGTGATTTTACTGAAATCCCATCCAGAGTATCCCAGCCTTGTGCCCTGTGCTGCCACCCCTATGACACTGGACAGAAAAAGTGCTTATGGGAGTTTTACTTACACCACACTGTTCTGCAGGCAGAGCGAAAAATTATTTGTTCGCAGGGATAACCAATTAGATTGTAGAGGAGGTGGGTCCAAGCAAGTAGAGGAGGTGGGACCAACCAATCAGATGTCTTGGACCCCTTTCTCCACAATCCAATTGGTGATTTCTCTGAGCAAATAATTTTTTGCTGTGTCCTCAGAACATTTCTGTGTAAGTAAAACACCCAGGGGCAGGAAAAGCGGCGGATGGATGGATGGATGGATGGATAGATGGACGGTCATGATGTTTGGCAAGTTGACCAAAGGGCAATGAGAGGGATGCATCCCAGAAATTAGTTGAGTGTGCAGTGGGAGGCACAGCTTCAGGGTGCTTGGAGGACGCTGGGGGTGGGGGGGTGGGGGGTGGAATGTGAGGGTCAGAAGTGCACAGCCAGGATTTCCGTACGCCTCAGCCATGCCTACTCCCAGTGACAGCCTTCCAGTAAAAAATGATTAATTTCTGGAAAAGACATTGTGTTTTAAATGTCAGCTGTCGGCATGTCTGAGTGCTGATTGCCTGTAAAGCTGGCTAGTGTTTTAGGAGTTGGTCCAGTGACTTTGTGGACTTTCCCAGTTGACCAGCGAACATCCCACTGTAGAAACGCCTTCTCAGCACTGACATTCTCACGTTCGCACACGGACACTGACACACAATCTGCCTGCTCCCTCCCTAAGGACCCGCACGGCTATCTGCTTACCTTCAAGGGATGACATGGCGCTGGTCATTCTCAAATGTTATTTAATAACAAAATGCTCTTTGTTACAATGGTGTGATTGGAATTTGTGCTGAGAGTACACTGTCTTCTTCAAGCTCATTCATAGCACTACTGGTGGGGGGCATTTACAGACTCCCAAACGCCCTAGTAGTTTCTATATGTAATTGTTGGCTGATCACTGGTTCAAGACCTACCCAGAACAAAGGGGTGAGCCTGCTGTGTAGGGTGACCCATTCTGCTCCACAGCACGACACGTGGACAGGCGACACATGCCCGTATACAGTAACGCGACACTTTGCAATATCGTAAGGGTGTAACAATACACAAAAATTACAGTTCAGTAAGTACATCGGTTTTGACGTCACGGTTCAGTACGCTTTCGGTACAGTGGGAGTAAAGGAAACAAACCATAAATTCCTTTTTTTTTCTTTATTTCTTGAAACTGATTTACTGAACAAAGTATGACTGTCTTTCATAAATAAAAAGTCTTTGTCAATACTGCTGCTAATAAAAAACTGAAATTTTACTTTAAATCAAAATAAATATTCTGTCAAGTAAATAAAAATAAAATAAATATCCATTAAGGTGCACATTTAGAAAATTAACTGCACCTGATCTGTACTGTATTCACAGCATTCAGCTTAATGTTTGAATTGTGCAGCACAAATATTGTCTCAAAAGTTCAAAGCAGAACAAAATAAATATCCATTATGGTGCGGCATTTAAAAAAATACCCATGCTGTACTTATATTCACATTAACAGCTTCCAGCTTCACATTAGGGGGTACACGCACAAACACACAAAGGTTCCACATTTGCTGCATTTGTTCAGTACATATGCGTACCTAACTGAAAGACCCGTACCGAAAATTTTCGGTACAAATGCATGTTCCACTCCTACAATATTGTCCAGCTATTTATGTTTTATGCAGCCGGGGGGGGGGGAGTCTGTGAGGACACTCATCTGGTCACGTGGTGCTGATCACCCCCTGCTGCTGGGGGCAGATTGCTGGTAAAGCGTCTCTGTGTCTCTACGCACACCGTCACTGCACATGCAGTGGCTTGCGTGTGTGTATTTCTGTGATGGCGGTGCAGGTCTTGCGGCCGAGCCCGATGTGTGACTGCCATGTCCCTGGATGGGTGACCAGGGCCTCCTCTCTGCTTGTTATGGTCGCCCTTTGGGAGTTTCGTTCTGACAACCCCGATCCCGCAGTCGTTGAGTCGGCTTCGGGGGACGTGGACCAGCCTTGCCTTGCGGCAGCCGTTTCTCGTAGAAGAATGAGGAACCTGCTAATGTGGTCACACAGGGGCCCGGCAGCATGACGTACTGGAGAATTCCCCAATTATTACATTAAGATGTCTGCATACCTGCTAATGCGGAGCTTAAAACACAGGTCCAAGCTTTTCCTCGGTGCCTAGGGGAGCGCCGGCTAGTTTGAGGGAGAACCACTCCCAATCCAGTGCTGGTACGGTTCTGGAGATGGGCTCTCGATCACTGTTTTTTTTTGCAATAGAAAGAAATAAAAAGAAGCTGTGCTCTCTACGGCACTGCCCTGGGGTTTAATGGCGCGTGGTGTGGAAGGTCGGCTTTATTCACGGCGATGGAATCCACCCTGGCAGAGCGTGCCGCCCCGAGGGGACTCTCCGACTCCAACTGACTCCTTCTCTCAGCGGTGTTGGCTCCCCCCGGGGCCCTCCTCCCTGAGAGAGAAGCATAGAGGATAGAAGACGAGGTTCTGTGGGTGGGGGAATGTAACGTATAAACGGCCGAGGACTCAGGTGTTGCATTTCCTGTGGCGCTGAGGCTGCGGCTGCAGCGCCACTCCTTGTTGCCGACCGGAGAGCCGCGGCGGTCCTCTCGGCACGGCCCTCCTGCAGTTCGCAGCCTTCTCATGTTCCTTGCGCTTTTTTTACTTTAACGGTAGAGCTTGAGAAGCCTCAGGTTCGAAACCCTCCATATTTCTGCAGCTGCTTCGCTGATGGTACCGGATCTGTCATTTGTTTGGCTGCGAGAATGATGCTGCTGTTGGGTGACCTGCTGCGGGTAATGAAATGGGCCGGTAAGTCATGCAGTTCTCTGGTGCTTTCGCGGTTCCGTAGCTGATGCTGAAACAGAGAGAAATCAATAAATGGGCCCTTGCAAGCAGCACCATTTCATTATTCTTGAACCTGCGTAACGTGACTCTAGAGGCGGACGGCCAGCTCTGATGTTCCACATGGTCGGTTGGTTAGTGAGGTGTCAGACGCTGCTTAGCGCCGGTTAGTATTACCATCATCTGAAAGCCTAGGACATGGCTCCGAGTGACCACCACCCCCGAGCGGGTCATTTGGCCGAGTCTGTGGCCTGTCACCTCTCCATCCTGTCCTCTCTCCCTTCTCTACAGGCGGAGGCGGGAAGCGGAAAGGACGGAGCAAGAAATGGAAGGAGATCCTGCGCTTTCCGCATATCAGCCAGAGCGTGGAGTTGGGCGGCAGCCTCGGTGAGCCTCCTGACCTCAGCCCCACCCACAGCCTGTAGCCCCTCCCCCTTGGGGCTCCGCCTTCCCTGCCTCTTCGGCCCCCTGAGCAGCTGGGGTTAAGGGTCTTGCTCAAGGTCCTAGCTATGATGTGATTACTTTGCTGGCAATAGGATTTGAACCCATGACCTACACACTGCTTTTCACATTCTGTATTGGCTCAACACCCTGTGATGCACTTACATTCTCCCTGTTCTGCTGAAACTGTGACTGTTTGATGGGTTAAATTTATTCACGGTTGAGCGCGTTGGAGGTGTATAACACAGCAACCGAATGTGTCATAACTGCATCACATGTCTTAAGTTAGTTGTGAGCTGTAGCCCTACGAAGGTTCTGGAAGCTGCCTTGATTGTGTGTTTCAGAGCGCGACTACCTCAGCCTGTGCGAGAAGCAGCCCATTGGCCGCCAGCTGTTCCGCCTCTTCTGCGAGACCCGGCCCGAGCTGATGCACTGCATCCAGCTGCTGGATGCCATGGTACTGACCGCTGCAGGTCCCCCACCCGCCCCCCCATGCACGCTGCTCGTCACATACGGGCTACACATAGATGCCATTTGGTTTAACTGCACATCTCTGGTCTACAGTAGGAAACCTCCAAAGAACATAGATCTGATCCTGGGTCAGAATCGAACCCACAGCCCTGCAGCTGTGATGATATTGTGTTCCCCTAGCATGAACCTGTTCTTATTTAATTTTAATGACCTGTTCTATCATCTGGGTTTGGATTCGCGTGGCAGAGGTAGTATTTGGTCGTTTCCGCATGTTTGTCTTGATCTGTGACACTCCGGAGTCGCCCCGTTGATGCCGGTGCCCTCTCTTGTCCCACCTTCCGACCCTAACGTCACCAGGGTCCCAAAGAACATCCTAATGAGATGCTAATTGAGACTCAGGGCTCCGCCTTTCACTTACGGCCCGACAGAATGTCACCCGCGCGACGTGACACGTCTCAATCCGAAATCCCAAAATATCGGCGGAGGCATGCAGCTGGGATGAAAGGAGCCATTGTGCGGCGTGGCCTGCCCTTCGGGTGGCACAGGGCGTCCCCACGTGCAGGAACATGACTCTCCTTGAGTCAGGCGTGCAAGTGCAGTGAGAAAGTAACACAGAAATGAGGAAGACTCTGGTGCTGCGCCTTGCCCACACTCTGTCAGCACTGTTACCATTTCTGATACATTGTTTTGGTTTAATTGAGATAATGTTGCCCCCCCCCCCCCGACTGTCCCCCATCAAACGGGCGGATGTCTGACTCGGGGGGGCGCCCGCCGTTATTGCGCCCACGCTGTTTCCATTTTACAAGAACGGGTCCGGCGGGCAGTTTGCTATTAGCAGGGGAATGGAAAGGGCAGAAAGAGGAACGTGTGTTTTCTTGAGGGTGGGAGTGAACGGGGGAGGGCGGCTGCTGGAGGAGGGTGCCCAGGGGGGTCCCGCTACGTCAGCACGGAGTCGGGTCCAGACCGCTATGGAGCCGGCCCAGGAGGCCTCGTTGCGTAACCTCTGCTTCCCGACAGGATGAGGGCACAGTGCCGGAGTGGACCGGTCCACTGTTGTCTTTGGGGGGGGGGGGGGGCCTTCTCTCTGTGGGCCGACTCCAAGGGAATAGTGAAAACACCCCCACCTCCAGACTTTTGGCAATCCTCCATGGGGAGGGATCAACCCAACACCTTTCAGGCAAGCAGCTGTAATCAAACTAATCCGGGGTCCCTCTTCCGTCACTGTCATGATTGTGGCCCTCAGAGACGTCACCCGTCCCCCGAGAGGTTAACCATGTTTACTCTGACTGTAGATACCGGCTGTCCCACTGTGACCACAGCCTGGTTTTGTCAGGGGCCAAAACATGAGCTGGGAGTCAGGGAGCTTCCTAAGGAGCTCACCACTAATTACTGGTTATTTTTACTGAGCACCAGTAGTCACTGTGCATACCGGGCGATTGTCAAATATGGTCGTAGAGAATGGAAGCTCATACTGTAAGTAATGTGCGTGAATGACCCGCCTGGTAATGACCCGCCTGGCAATGACCTGCCTGGCAATGACCTGCCTGGTAATGACCCGCCTGGCAATGACCTGCCTGGCAATGACCCGCCTGGTAATGACCCGCCTGGTAATGACCCGCCTGGCAATGACCTGCCTGGCAATGACCCGCCTAGTAATGACCCGCCTGGCAATGACCCGCCTGGCAATGACC